TCATAAATCACTATATTGATACCATAGAATTTCACTATAATTTATCAAGCATAGTAACTAAGCTGTATTTGGGTCTAAAAAAAATGAAATTTAGAGCTCACTAAAGACTTACTTTATCGTTTAAAATTTTGTGTGAAAAGAAGATTAACACAATAACATGTCAAAATGGCTGAGAAATCCACTAGGGAGACATTCTGAGCTTTTGAGTGGTTATTCATGTGTCGCATTTAGAAGTAATTGTATATAAGGGAATGTTTCCAAAGATGGAAAGAGGTGGGCGGGGAGCCACTGTGTTTGATTCAGTATGTGAGCGATATCTTAGCAAGTGAAAAAGATAAGAGGTTCTTATTTTATATTCTAGCTTGTCAGTATCAGTAATTTGAGTTCCTAATTTGTATAAAACTATAGACTTAGTATTTTGACTTCACAAACATCTAATTTGAACCAGTGCTGCATTCAGCATACCACGTGACACACAAAAATCAATGTTTAGCTGTTTTTTATATATTTACTTTTAAAATTAAGAAATTTAGTAAGATATAATACTAAAATTTGAATTATAATATTCAATTTGATACCAAACTTATTGACATAAATTCATAAAATAGTAGTTAAATAGAATTTTGAATGCAAATCATAAAATGAGATATGGCTTTTGACACGTGACCTGTCGAGATAGGATTAAATAGTCTCTTCATTTAGGTTTGAACTTGACTAAAAATGTCTTTAGTCAAAAATATTTAGTTAGTATAACAATGATGCAGTATGTTTTGATGAAATAACAGTTTTTCATATTTATACTTTCATAAATACTGTATATTTCTCTGACAGAATTATAACATAAAAAGTTATTAGTGTTTTTCTAACCAGAAATTTGAAGTAAAGTAGAGATATACAATAATGATCTATAAAACTGTCATGATGGAAAACTGATTGGTAGTATTATTACCTGTTCCTTGAATTCATATAATGTATTAGAATACTTAGCAGTAAGGTAAATTTTCACATTCTGAAAATGTTTCAAACTTGAAAAGTACTGTTCATTTACTGAAATGATTGATTTAAAACTTTGCAATGATACAAGAAGAAAAAAACAGTTAAAGGACAATAGGGCATTTTTTTTGTGTTTGAATGTCTATATTGTATCACACTAACAATAATGCAATTAAAAAAAAGTCACAAAACACTCAGACTTATGTGGCTCCAAGCCATACTTGATCACAGTTGGCTAGCTTTAAGAAAAACTAGCAGAAGTGCAACATGGTGAACTGGGTGGGCAAACCTGTGTCACACAAGGTAAACAAAAATGGCAACAGCAGGTGAAGAGGAAGATGGATATAATGTGTCAAGCACACTGTATCTGTTTGAACCAGAGCTTGCAGACGATAACATGCCTAATGTCGGCCGAAGTGGAGGAGGACTGGCCGTGGTCTGATCTTTCTTAGTATGGAATTGTTTCAAAAGTTACATGTTACAATGTCATAAAAGACTGGTTTACACTGCTAATGTCATAAAAATTGGATGAAATTTACAGCCGTCATTATGGTCACATGGGTGATAATATAGTAAATGTATGAGTAAATGCTAGATTTTTCAAGTGATGGATCTATATCTAGATGTAGAGCTAATATCAGCTGATGGACTATCAATACTGTATTCTGTGCATGCTTCATTTAGTATGCATATGACTAAGTATACATTAGAACTGGAAAAGCAAACATAGCTGGGGTCATATTTCGGTAATCAATATTGTACATCTAGCATTTTTTATGTTGCATATTGATATCCCCAATAAAATTTCATAAAAAAAGTGTTATAAACATGAAAAATAAATAAATAAAACACACAACAGTTTGTTCATGCCCTTTTTTTTAATAAATAATAGCTGAAGGTGAAATTTCATAACCATTTTTTGTTTTAGGAGATCTGCTGGTATGTTTATAAAATCTGAATAATTGCTGACAATTCTATATTGTACTTAAAACATTAACTACAACTTGAGTTTATGCCTTTTGTTTTTGAACAGCTGATTGGACACAACTATCATCGCTGTTACTGGTCTGTGAATAAAAGCATGATGTGCCACTGGCATGAGCCTGGCTGCTGCTCACTGTGCTTGATGGATCTCCCTCAAACTTTGGATACACAATGGGCACTACATCTTTCTTTATCACCAGTTGTTGTTTTTTGCAAATACCATATCCAATTGTAGCTTATTTTCAAAATCTGATTCCAAAAAATGTTCACTGCATACATGACAGGTTTCTGTCAGAATCCATTTATCATGAATTTTTTATATGAAATTTGTCCAGACCATGTGCTGTTTTCTGTCTGACTTAGGTGGAAACTCATGCAGAGATACCTCCTTTTCCTTGGGAATATTCCCACATCCATAAACAACACAGCAAAAAAAACCATAGTTGTTTATATCCTGGACACATTACTCACGAATAATTGTATTCACGACATCTGCAAAATGAAATTTGTCCAGAAAAAAACAAACTGTTTGCACATAAACAAACCAACAGTTTTTCATGCACAAAATGATGCACAGAGAGGAAGCTGACCACAACTGGCCTTATTTTCCTTGAGTGATGTTACTGTTGCAGGGCAGGGGCAATTTATGGAAAAATGACTTGGTCATAATTTTAACTTGTATTTCTACAGCACTTAAATACACATATTGTGTTTTTAACTGTCTGATGACATCTTTAAGGTGTGTGATGTACTCTGTTGCTGAAGTTTTGAAAAAGGCAGTGAAAAAACTATTTTTGAAGTATTTTGCAAGAGTAAGTTATTGAAATATAATTTAAAAAAGATTAACTGTACAATTATACTAAAGGTGAGAAACAGATTGGAAAACAATTATTCCTTTGATATTTAGTAGGCTGAAAAACATCCATAGTTTCAAGGTTGGGCACCTCAGTATATGCCAGATGAAGAATGAAATACTATTCATTCCTGTAGAAAAGTTAGTAAAGAACAAGCTTAAGATGAATGGCATACTTCCTTCAATTTTGTACTGCATGATAGGCAAATAAATAATTGTAAGTAAGCTTTAGAAAGTAACAAAATGTTTCTTTACAGGAAAAAGCAAGCCTAAGGTGAGCAATATGCTTCATTCACCAAATGAATATAGTTTTGTCAAACTTATGTTGACTGACGTATGTTGTTATAAAAAAAAAAAAAATTATTTCATGACAGATTTCTAGTGTATGATATAGGCTCCGTTGATAGTGAATGTAGCTTGTCTTAAGAGGTAAAAAGTACACTTAAGGTGAATAGCATCTTTTCTTAACCAATATTCTTTGATTTTGTCTTCCTTCTCACAGTGGAAATACTTCGTCAATTTTCATGGAACTTAGAAC